CCAATTATAAAAAATAAAAATAAAAATTTGTTCATAACATCAAATTTTGAATACTTTACTACTCATAAGTTTATACAAAACTATTTTTTTAAGTATGTAACACATTCAATGCTTTTTTTGGAAAAGAAAAATGCTAAATCATTCAATATCTAACTTATAAAAAATAATGCACCTAATAGCCAAAATAAAACAGTAAACACTTCAATATCTAACTCATTCAAAGCTAAATCATGAAACTTAATATTTTTTCCACTGTCTAGCTCATTCAATGCTAAACCATGGCAACCATAGACCGAAAAAAAAAAAGTTATAATAGTTGAGAATTGATTTATACATTTATAACCACATTTCACCACAAAAACAAAATAAAGTAATTAATGACAAATTATCCATAAACTTCTCCTAAGTTAATTGTCTTAGACTTTCTTTGTATGCATTTAACTGACTCCTCCATCTCTTTCTCCGTCAACAACATTATGAAGTCCTGCAAAATTGAAATAGTAAATAGTTCAATTGAACTTGGGTTCAAGGACAAAACAAAAACAAACCCTTTTAATTCCAATGAGATGACAGTAAAAAAAAAAGGGTGTGTAGATAACTTCTATCACGATGCAAATGACATATCAAGTGATTCAATCCATCTATTTTTCTCAATTCCACTCATATAGATATTTCCAGGCTTCAACCCAATTAACTCCAGATTCTGTTAGTTAAAATTCATTCCTAATAGTCATAGAAAACAAGAGAGATCAGTTTCACCATTCTTCAAATGTCATCTCAATTAATTCTAACTAAGCAAACAATAAACTTTACTATTGCTGTGAAGCTTCACTACAAAAACATAATAGATGCATTGTGAGCCACTAGGACAATTCTGAAAACCATAAAAAAAATATCCAAGGACGTTCACAGATAATTGAGGAATGACCAATTATAAGCTATATGTGACTATGTTCTGAATTATCATTGTAATCATCTGAGTTAAATGAAGCCATATCCTACTATTAGGAAGTGGGTGATGGCCATCCAAACAAAATAGCCAAACTAATTCTGTTGAAGGCCAAATCAATGTGGAAAAAAAAAACCCGTCTCCAATAATGGCCAAATCAATAAGGAAAAAAAAAAACCTTCTCTCCCCCCCTTTCTCAAAATTCTTTCTTTGGGTGAGCAATGAAAAGCATAACCAAACTATGGAACCATCATATCCACAACAATCATTGTCAATACAAGTATGATGATTGTTGAACTCCATAAACTACAGTTGAAATAGCAAGAGCAGAACAAAATTAATAATTTTTTGGGAAAAGAAAAGCACAATATACCGACCTACATGTGACAATTAAGCAAACAACAAAAACTGCACCTGTTAAAGAATCAAACAGACTTGATCAATGCTTTTAAAAGGTGGGCAGAACTATAACCTGACAAATGCACATCTGTAGCATTAACTTGGGTTTCATCATGGTTGATTAGGAGTGATAAACGAACCAAACAACTCAAGCTCGACTCGTGTTTGGCTCGTTATTAGCTCAGTTCGTTAAATAAACAAGCCAAGCTTGAATACATTTTAGAGCTCATTAAAGTTTTCAAACCAAGCTTGAACAGTTAATTGCTCGTTCAGCTCTGTTCAATAAGCCTAAAATTATATAAAATATCAAACTGCTTGAGCTCGGCTCGATAAAAGTTCGTTTGAGATTGGTTCGAAAGTTTAACGAACCAAAACGAACCAAGCTCGGACAAATTTTAAAGCTTGTTAAAGTTATTAAACTAAGCTTGGATAGTTAACTGTTCGGCTCATTCGGTTCATTTATCACCCCTATGGCCTATGGTTGATAGCCACTTATGAAATGGTCAGAACTGAAATTCATTTGATATCAAGCCACTTGCGGGTTTTTAAGTTCACATGGCTTGAAATTCATTTGATAACAAGCCATGTCTAAGATGTATATGTATATGTGTGTGTGTGTGTGTGAGAGAGAGAGAGAGAGACCAACTCCTCAAAAGTATTGCTCCACTTCTGATTTTTGTTAGGCGTAAATGTTAGAAGCACGTTTCTGGACATACCACTTATGAAAACCAGCCAAACTTTTTTGTTTCGAAGAACCGGCAGGCATTTGACTACCACTTGAGCTGCTATTTTCAGAAACAAGTGCGACGGAACTCATGGAATCAGAAGAATCACTCCTATACTCATAAAAGGGATCAACAAAACCATTACGGAACCTCTAAATATGCTTATTAGCATCAGCACCATAAATAAGCCCAAAGCAGTATTCCACCAAGTCTAGCTTGTAACAGAAAACAAGCATATATTTCAAGTTACTCAATTGGGTTTTTTCCCCATCAAACCAATCTGAATCTAAAGACAAAAACAGAATCATGCAGATCTTACAAACACAAAAATAGACTTAGTTGACATGAACAAACAGCCTGAAAATTCATGGGCTTTTTAGGTTTATGTACAATGATTGAAACTAGAAAAAGATCCAACACAAAAATAACAAGAAAAAAACCAAATTCATCTAGCTTTTTTCACGTAAAAAATCCTCAAATAAAGCTAATGTAGACTAATATGAAACCAATTATGTTACAGAGCTCGTTACTGGGAGCCTTAAAATGTCCTAGAGCCATGGTGCAATCGACAAATCAAATTCCAACAAAAATCACAATGAACAAACCCACTTAACAAATTGATCAAACACACAAAAACTGATCAAATCCACTCAACAATAATCACAAGCAACAAAACTCACTTCAAATTTATCATAACTATAGCAAACCCACTTGAGAACAATCAATATAAAGCCAAACCCATTTCATTGAAACTAAAACCTAGTTAAACACACACCCTAATATTGGGGAAAGCAATGGAATTCACAGAAAATTACCGACTTTGAAAAATAGACAGATGTTTGATGTCTAACTCTGAAAGTTGCACTTGCTTCAAAGTCTCCGAAATTCGAGTCACAATCGAAGATGGTGATTTGATGATGGTCAAACTCAAAGAATTGCGGATGATAGACGTCGCAAATGATGATGATGATTCAATGATGAGCAACAAAATCATAGATGATGATAATGGTGATTCGATGAGTCGATCTCCAAAGAAATCTCTGATGGTGATTCGATGAATCGATCTCTGGAGAAATCGCATGAGAGAGACAAGTGTTTTGATCTTTCTAGGGCAATTGTTCTACTTCTTAAATGGGATGTAATATCGGATTCGGGTACATAAACGGACTGGAATTGATTTATCTGAATCCGGTCCATTAAATTCGGATCTGGAAGATTCGGGTTACACGGATTATCAGATCCAGATTTCCGCAAACAAATTGGATTAGACAGGTTGGATCCGAATCAAACTCAATCCGTTGCCAGGCCTAGAATAGCAACACTCAAGTTCGTGGAGGTCGAGCTAAAGACCAAGCAATCGATTTAGCTTGACCATACCTATAATGATTCGATAACTATTAGGAGTCAACTACATTGGATTCAAGTTCCAATGGCAGAGGCACTCTCAAAGAAGTGGATGATGATGGAGCCTAACATTGGCCTCTATAACAGCAACTAATGGGACAGTATGAAGTCAGGACCCTCAATCTTGAAGTCGACATGACTGTTCAAGCTGACATTGGCATCAGGGGGAATCTAATACAATTTAGCAGTGGTCATTGACTCCAGCATGTACTATAAATGCCCTATTTTTCGGAAAATGCCCTATTTTTCGGAGAATAAAGAAACAATGGACAAATTAGATAATACAAAAAAAAAAAATTGATAAAATAGAAGAGATCGAGAACTTATAAAATGGAACATCTAAACTAAAGGAGTTACTTTAAGGGATAGACAACGACAGATGCAAGAGGTATGCAGCTTGAAGCAGAGTGACAATGGTGGACGGAGTGCAAAGAGTAAAGGTGAAGAATATGAAGTAAGAAATAGAAGTTTAAATACAGAAAAAGTAGAAGAGAGAAAAGGGTAATATTGGTGTCGCCTGAAGCGCATTGTACCCTATACATGTCCTTCCATGATGGACAGGCATGACGATGCGCAACCAATAACAGGATGATACATCATCAATGCAGCAGAATCGTCAAAAATAAAGAGACTGAAGCCCAACATTATCTAACACCTTTATAACTATAAAGATGCTCTTTAGAGAATGACGGGCAATTGATACATTTATGAGAATGTGTTTTCAAATATATTGTTTGTTGTTGACAACTTTCTGCCACAGACATTGCTTTTACCGTTGAAATGCACACTCATCGCTCCATTTTTAAGACTCTTCGTATTTGTTCATCTACATTTTGTTGTTATTTACTATTGTTACATGTGTAAAACAATTCCATGAAACGTGGGGGTTCTTTTGATTTTGCTATAAAGTATCTTGGTAAGCTTAATTTATGGATGTGTCTAAGTGTGTTAAAGAAGTACCAATATTTGACACATACTCAACACAAGTACAACTCCTCTATAAAACTACATGTGTTTCTTATATCACATTGCTAGGGTTGTGCATCCCCGTTAGGAGAAATCCAACTGAATGCTGCTGTGTGATAATAACAAAAATAGTTTAAATACACATAGGGAATGCAATGAATAACAAAAAAGTCTAGGAATAGGTAGATAAAGTTTAAAAATGTAAATAGCATTATGATTGTGAAAATTATGAACTTCTTGTCTTAAAGTTGATCATTCAAGTGGGAGTTGGAATTTTGGTGAACGTCATTGGATTTTTTGTTGATTTTCTTTCTTTTGAATACATATCATGTTGCATTAACTATGTAAATTGCATCCATTTGAGCATAATGGCCAGGATTAACTATGTAAATTGCAACCAACATTTATTTCATTTTGTTTACACTCAAAGTGGTAATGGCCACTTCAAGCATTGTGAAATTTGTTTGAATTTGTCTCATGTATGTTTGAATTCTTATTTGATTTGAACTAATGATCTGTCAATTATGTGTTGCTTTCATTTTTGTTGTTGGCCATAGGCATGAGGCAAGGTTTATTAAGCAAATCATCAAGGAGATTGCAAATAAATTGAATAGAACAATCTTTAGTCTGCCCCCCTACCAAATTGGAATTGATTCTCGTGTAGAAGAAATTAATTCTTGGTTACAAGATGGATCAGCAGATGTTGGCATTGTGACAATATGTGGGATGGGTGGAATAGGGAAGACAACCATTGCCAAAATAGTTTATAATCTGAATTTTGACAGATTTGAAGCTAGTAGTTTTCTAGCAAATATTAGAGAAATATCAGAACAACACAATGGCTTGGTTTGTTTGCAAAGAAGACTGCTGCAGGATATTTTGAAGGGGAAACAAAAAAAAATTTGTAGTGTCCATGAAGGTATTGTTAGGATTAAAGATGCTCTATGTTGTAAAAGAGTTTTGCTTGTTCTTGATGATGTGGATCAAGTGGACCAATTAAATGCAGTGCTCGTAATGCAAGATTGGTTTTATCCAGGAAGTAAAATTATCATAACTACTAGGCGTGAGCACTTGATGAAGGCACAAAAACTGTACAAGTTGCATAAGGTCAAGGAATTAAATGACGATGAATCACTTGAGCTCTTAAGTTGGCACACCTTTCGACAAAACCACCCCATTGAAGGTTACGAGGAGCACTCAAAAAGAGTTGTGAGCTACTGCAGAGGGTTGCCTTTAGCCCTTCAAGTTTTGGGTTCTTCTTTATTTCAAAGAAATTTAGATGTATGGGAAAGTGCATTAAAGAAATTGAAAGCGATTCCTGATAGCCAAATCCTTACAAAACTTAAAATAAGTTTTGATTCTTTGCAAGATGACCATGACAGAAATTTGTTCTTAGATGTTGCTTGTTTCTTTGTGAAAAAGACAAAGATTTCACAATTACAGTGCTAGATGGATGTGATTTCTACACTAAAGCAGGGATTGACAACCTCATTGATAGATGCCTGTTAATAATTGATCAAAAGAACAAGTTGATGATGCATCAATTGCTTCAAGATATGACACAAGAAATTATATGGCAAGAATCAACTGAAGAACCTGAGAAAAGGAGCAGACTATGGCATCATAAGGATGCATTCAATGTATTAATTGAAAAAACTGTAAGAATTGTGCTATTTCATGTCTATTTGTATATGTTTTTTACCCATGTGCACACATATCTAGCCTTTTTTTTTCCTGAATTTTTTTATTATTATTTATAATCAGGGGACAGAAACAGTTGAAGGCCTCATCCTCAACATGAACGGGTTTAACGAAGAGGAGCCATCCAGGAGGGTAAATAATTCAAAAAGACATCATTCTGAATATTTTCATGGCAACTCATCATTCCTTTATAAAGGCAGTTCACCATCATCAAAGCGACGTCGTCTAAGCTTCTCTTGGCTCTCCATGAATTCTTCCTCAACAGAATCATTTCCAACATCTAAAGAAGTAAATATACACACTGATGCATTTTCAAGAATGCAGAGACTGAGAATACTCCAGCTCTATAATGTATGGCTTACTGGATACTATGAAGAATTTCCTAAGAAGTTAAGATGGCTTTGTTGGCATGGGTTCCCTTTAAAATCTATACCCAATGATTTTTCTTTGGAGAGCTTGGTTGCACTTGATATGAGCTATAGCAACCTGGAACGAGTTTGGAATGGAACAAAGGTTTGACAATAATTTTATTATTTTGTTTTTGTTTTTGATTGTTTTTAATGTCTTGGGGATTGGTATGACTATCCATATAAACTAATTTCCTATTTTTTGGTGTTAGTTGCTCAGATTATTAAAAATCCTCGATCTCAGTCATTCTCATCGCCTCACCAATACACCTGACTTCTCAGAACTGCCTAATCTTGAGAGATTGTTTTTTAAAGATTGCATAAATTTGATTGAGGTTCATGGGTCCATTGGAGAATTAGGCAGACTTGTTTTGTTAAATCTAGAAAACTGCAAAAACCTTAAGAAGCTTCCACACAATATTGGTCACTTAAAATCCCTTGAAAAACTCTTTCTCTCTGGTTGCTCAAAGCTGAATGAGTTGCCTACAGAGCTGGGCAAGATGGAATCTTTGAAGGTGTTTGAGGCAGATGAAACTGCCATACATCAGTCACTCTCTATCATTGGTGAGGAAATATCATGGGGTTCAGTGTTGCGGTCATGGATGTTGACACCAAGAAAGAGTCCTACATCCATTGGATTTTCATTGGCTTCTTTGTCACGCTCATTAGTAAGCTTAAGTCTTGAAGATTGCAATCTGTCAGATGATGCTATTCCAAAGGATCTTGGTGGCCTATCCTTGCTGCAGCACTTGGATCTAAATAAAAACCCCATTTGTAATCTACCAGATAGTATCAGGGACCTTACTGCACTCCAGAAACTTGAGCTAGCACATTGCACAAAACTCCATTCACTTCCGGAGCTTCCAATGAGTTTAAATAACTTAAATATACATAAATGCAGTTCGTTGGAAATGGTAACAAATCTTCCAAACCTGTTGAGATCACTGGTGCTGGCGATAACTTCTTGTGACAGCCTAGTTGAGATTCAGGGATTATTCAAGCTAGTACCCATAAAGAACATTAATGCAGAGATGTTCAATAATATGGGTTGGTTCAACTTGGAAGCAATGGGAAAGGTCGAGGTGACTTTATTCAATGTCATGACAATAAGAACAGTGAAAGTTCCCCTTCAGGTGCTTCTTCTTCGTCTTATTCTTCTTCTTCTTCTTCTTAAATGCTAATGATATGATTTCCGTGGCGCAGGGACTTTATGAATTTATTATATTCAACACTTTTCTTCCTGGAAATGAGGTTCCAAGCTGGTTCAGCAATAAGAGCACGGGATCCTCAATTTGTTTGAATGTGCCTTCACTTCCTAATCTCAAAATCCAAGGCTTGAATGTATGTGTTGTGTATGAGCAAACATATGCAAAATCTGATGACCGAAGAAATGAGTACTGGGATAATATTTTTATTAGAACCAGCAATAAGACCAAGGGTTTTAAGTGGATCTATAGTCCCACTTTTGTGGGACTTCCAAAAGACAATGAACATATGATATGGTTAAGCCATTGGAAGATCGGAAATCAATTGGAAGGTGGCGATGAAGTGGATGTTACAGTGTTTTTGTGGGCTTATATGAAGCTAAAAGAGTTTGGCATTCAAGTTGTGTATGAGCAAGAAGAGAACAATACACAGCAGGGAGACTTGTATCCTTCTTTTCATAATGTTGTCAACGAAGATCTGTCGGCATATCAAGTCAGCACAGGCATGTACTTCCTCTGCCATCATGATTTTGACATCTATCAAGACTGCTCAAAAAGTGGTGGCTGGACTTCCAAAGGCTGGTATGACTTCTTATTTGGTGACTCTGTAACGACTGCACTGCGTAAATATTTCAATAATATTTCGGGTGACTACCCTCTTAATTATATGATTATATGTGTTTTTGTATTTCTATCTGTTCACCATAGGAAAATCTGTTTTATTTTCTGCTTTAAAATTTAAATTGAAGGCTGAAGAGGCATCAGAAACTAAAATTGACTACGTCGTTATGATTAGCGTTATTTTTAGAGCCTACGGTGAAATTTAATTGAAAATTGATTCTGATTAAATTAATTAGATTAAATTGATTTAATTCCGCTCAATTAACTAGTGTTAATGAAACTTGATTAAGGGTGTGTATATATAGGGGGCCAAACACACTTAAGTTCCTCTTTTGAGCTCAAAATCTGATTATATACTCTAGAAAGAGAGAGAGTACACGGCTTAGAGAGAGAGAGAGAGAGAGAGAGAGAGAGAGAGAGGCCAAAATTGAAGATTTTGCTAAGAGATTAGAAGACTAAGGGAATTGGTACAAGATTTAACTACATTTGTGAGAATTGGAGCCTTTAGGTGAGTATTTGAGCTCAAATTCATGAAATTAAATTCATAAATAAGTGAATTCAAGCAAGATGTGCAAGTGAGGGCAAGAATTGAGTTGATTATGATGAAATTGAAGTCTATATGCACATGCATGTTTAGAATTGCCATGAATTTGCATAATCAAGCATGAGGCATGATGAACATGAAGAATTGAGCACCAAATTTCACATGCATGCATAACTTTCATAAGTTTCATGATTATAAGTACCATTTGTACCATTTGAAATAGAATTGGAGTAAAAAATTAACATACATGCATGATTGATGAAGATACGGAGTTTGTATGAGGTTGAATGCACGAGTTTTGAAATTTGTGAAGAGAATTCAAGATAATTTATGAGGTGGGCCATGATTTTAGTCAATTGGTTCCAAATTACTTATGTTCTTGGGTTATATGATGTCCTTCCTTGTTTTTGTATCAAAACATGAGTTTTGGAGCCTTTTGGGTTGGGTTGAGTTTGAGCTTCAAGAACAATTCTGGAAATTCTAGAATTCATTGGGTCCGCTCGAGCAGGAAAGGCGCCGCTCGAGCGTAAAATGTTAGCTCCTAGAAGTTTTGTAGACCAAAAGGGTCCGCTCGAGCAGCCAAAGCTGCGCTCGAGCGGGGATCCCTGTTTCAGATATTTTGAGAAGTGGTTTTATGATTTATTTTCCGTTCTCTTTCATTTCTAAGCACTCTTAGGCATGCATTGAGCATTGTAAATGGACTAGGAAGATACAAAAGAAGCCTAAGAGGAATAAATAAATTAAAGAATGGATTGAATCGCTTGTGACCTAATGTGTTTATGAAATGTGTAGGGTCAAGCACAAGGGCAAATCATCCGGTAGATCATTGTGAGTAATATCTTAATAAGAATGTAGTGAAGTATGCTACTTCCAAGTACTCACTCATGTATGAGTTCTATAGAGTTATTAAATTGAATTGGATATTTGTTATACAAATGATTGGGCCAAAGGCCGTTTGACATGAATGATTGGGCCAAAGATTGTTAGACATAAATGATTGGGCCAAAGACTATTTGATAGAAATGATTGAGCCAAAGGCCATTTGACATGAATGATTGGGCCAAAGGCCGTTTGATAGAAATGATTGGGCCAAAGGTTGTTTGACATGAATGATTGGGCCCAAGGCCATTTGATACGAATGAATTGGGTGCAAGGCCTTTTGATATGTTTGGGCCTAAGGCCGTTTAATGTATTAGATAGAAACGTGAATGGGCCTAAGGTCGTTTGATATGTTTGTCAACAACTTTCGTTCATGTAACTTCCTTATTTGATATTATTCACTAGGCTTTCGCTCATTCTCATTCATATTTATGTAGGTGAGCAAAGAGACGTCCAAACCCATCCTTAGTGGAGTTTGAGAAAGGAACTCAAGTTTTGTGAAGTCAACCCTGGTGCCTGACACAAGAGTCTTTGTTTATGATCTTTTGTATTTTCTTTTGTTATTTCCATTGGTCATGATAGACCATTTATGTATATAAGCTTTTGGTGTAGCTGACTATGTGTTTGAATAATCCTGGGTATACAAGATGTTAACTACTGATGCGTGGTGTCAGTTATTATTAAGTATATGGGAATTGTTTTAATATGTCATGTAAGCACAACTCATTGGACAAAATTTTAAGCTTGCTTCCATTTTGGCCCTTAATTTTGTTGAAATATGTTTAATCAAGTTTGAGGTCGTAGGTAATCTCATGATTACTGGCCGGTTATGACCTTAATCTATAGGGGCCAGTTCGGGTCATGACAAAAAATTTTCTCTCTGGTTTCTCAAAGCTGAATGAGTTGCCTACAGCGCTGGGCAAGATAGAATCTTTGAAGGTGTAACAGGCAGATGAAACTGCCATACATCAGTCACTTTCTATCATTGGTGAGGAAAAATCATGGGGTTCAATGTTGCGGTCATCGATGTTGACACCAAGAAAGAGTCCAGCATCCATTAGATTCTTGTTGGCTTCCTTATCGTGCTCAATAGTAAGCTTAAGTTTTTAAGACTGCAATCTGTCAGATGATGCTATTCCAAAGGATCTTGGTGGCCGATCCTTGCTGCAGCACTTGGATCTAAATAAAAACCCCATTTGTTATCTACCAGATAGTATCAGGGGTCTTACTTCACTCCAGAAACTTGAGCTAGCACATTGCACAAAACTCCATTCACTTCCGGAGCTTCCAATGAGTTTAAATAACTTAAATATACATAAATGCAGTTCGTTGGAAGTGGTAACAAATCTTTCAAACCTGTTAAGATCACTGGTACTGGCTACAACTTTTTGTGACAACCTAGTTGAGATTCATTATTGCAAAGATGTTCAATAATATGGGTTGGTTCAACTTGGAAGCAATGGGAGAGGTCGAGGTGACTTTATTCAATGTCATGACAATAAAAACAGTGAAAGTTCCCCTTTAGGTGCTTCTTGTTCTTGTTCTTGTTCTTGTTCTTCTTCTCATATGTAAATGCTAATAATATGATTTCTGTGGCACAGGGACTTTATGAATTTATTATATTCAACACTTTTCTTCCTGGAAATGAGGTTCCAAACTGGTTCAGCAATAAGAGTATGAGATCCTTAATTTGTTTGAATGTGCCTTCACTCCGTAATCTCAAGATCCAAGGCTTGAATCTATGTGTTGTCTATGAACGAATAGGCAAAATCTGATGATCGAAGAAATGAGTACTGGGATAATATTTTTATTAGAACCAGCAATAAGACCAAGCGTTTTAAGTGGATCTATAGTCCCACTTTTGTGGGACTTCCAAAAGACAATGAACATATGATATGGTTAAGCCATTGGAAGATCGGGAATCAATTGGAAGGTGGCGATGAAGTGGCTATTACAGTGTTTTTGTGGGCTTATGTGATGTTGAAAGAGTTTAGCATTCAAGTTGTGTATGAGCAAGAAGAGAACAATACCCAACAGGGAGACTTGTATCCTTCTTTTCATAATGTTGTCAACGAAGATTTGTCGGCTTATCAAGTCGGCACAAGCATGTACTTCCTCTGCCATCATTATTTTGACATCTATCAAGACTGCTCAAAAAGTGGTGGCTGGACTTCCAAAGGCTGGTATGACTTCTTATTTGGTGGCTCTGTAACAACTGCACAGTGTAAATATTTCAATAATATTTCGGATGGCTACCCTCTTGATTCATAATTAAAAAATAGAGATACCAGAAATCCTATAAATATAGAGTTCTTAATTATACCATTAAGTTTACCTCAATTTCACAGAATCTCTTATCTTCTACATAATGTTCCTATATTATTTTATTGGGTAAATATATACTTTTCACCCCTATAGTTTGACCCAAATTTTATTTAATTTGGTCACTATTGTTTCAATTTAAACAATTCCAAATTGAAATTGGATTTAAAGTGTAGGAACAAAATTATTTAAATTAAAATAATAGGGATCAAGGTCAAATTAAGGTCAAATTATAAGAGTGAAAAGTATAATTTTTATTTTCTTCCATTCTCTGATATTATGGCAACTTGAGAAAGGCTTGGCATCCAATCGTGTTATGTGTCAAACATGTTTTTGAGATTTGAATTGTATTTTGGAGCGCTATTCATTCACTAGTATACCTGCACAAAGAGAGGCGAATACAACTTTAGGACACCAGAATTGTTTCATTGAATCATGGGTATCATTTTCCAAACCATAAGACAATACACATACATATATAAAGACGCAACAATTGTTTGGTGCTTTGTCAAAATAAATTCTCAATCATTTTCTTTTTGGTTTTCTATTCAAATTTTTTACTTTGTTTCATTGAACCACGAGCCTTCATTAATTCAATCTAATTTTATGAGTAATATCGGTTTTGATTTTATTCTGAACCTTACTTGAGATTGCATTTTATGTTTTTGTTTGTTCATCCATTCACGAGCCTGTAGACACCCCATTTTTGACTGCCTTTAAGACTTGGGTGCCACCGATTGATCACTCGATGATGAAAGTTGTGCTGTGCAAAGGTTCGATTTCTTCAGCAAGAAGGGCTTAAAATCCCAACCTTACACCCCATTTTGGACCAAAATGTTCTTGACCAAAACTATTTTAGACTTGAAAACGCACTCTTTCAAAATATTTTTAAAAAGTTTCTACGAAGTTTCGAGGCTCGTATTTTGTTAAAAATTGCACTTTTCGGTAAACCGAGCAAGGAAAAAGTGGAAATAAATGGAGGAGAGGTGAACACTTTGAAAAAATCTTTAAAACATCTTATTTAAAGGTTTGAAGTTGAAGAAAATAAGAGAGAAGGGAAGAAACCTAGTTGGGAGAGAAGTTGGGTATGAAACCGTAAGGGAGAATCGGGCAGCCTTCACTAAATTAGGTCTATCCTTTTTTTCATTTGGACTTACGTTGTGAGGCCACCACCATTGGAAAGTGGACTTCCAGGGCTTCATTTTACACTCAAGAATCTCCTAAAGCCGAGTCCGGATGAGGGAGATATGGCTAGTTGAAGTTAGGCATCAATCCGATTAAGCCAAAACTGAGCAACCTTCACTAAAATAGGCATATCTCTTAGCACACTTAGAATTTTGATGTGAGACCATTTCCATTGGAAAGTAGACTTCCGGGGCTTCAATTTAAGCTCAAGAATGACCTACCACCCAAACACGACCCTACCCAGTATTGTATCTTTCACCAACAACATGGCCATCCCACGGACATGTGCTACCGTATACGTCATGAGATCCAAGATCTCATTGACAATAAAGTCATCGCCCCACCTTCCAAACCCAACGTAACAACCAACCCACTTCCTATACATAACCAAGTCCCCCTGCCCAGAAATATTAACCATATCCGCACACTAGCGCCCACCTTCAACCCTAGCATATACATTACCTCATCCCACCTACCAAAACTGGAGGTGGTCATTCTGGAAGGCACAGGCATCTGCATGATGGATATGACACCATAAATCCAACCCAGGCTCATGGTAGTAGAAACGGAGAAAGAGAACAATGCATTGAAGACAGGGTCGTCTGATACCTGTGTCATAGAGAAGGGGGTCTCGTTCATAAAGGAGTATGATCCCAGTTTATACATCATTGTCATCGATCAGCCAAAGTCAATGGTCATACTGTCGGGTTTTCTCAGCATTAATGCTATCGGGGATGACCAAATGGTGCAAAATCAGAATGAGCGGCCTGAGCAAGGCCTGAATGACTTAGCAAACCTAGAAAAAGATCTGGCAGGGTTTGAAGAGGATCTAGAGGATCTTTACTTCTTCGAGGAAGAAGAGACCAGTTGTGTACAGATGGGATGGTGGGACCCGAGCTAGCCGAAAACAAGTAACGGGTGGTAGAGTGAGGAAGAGTTCGATGTGGAGGAACAGACAAGAGAGACCAGGAGAGAAGAGGAAGTTGCTATTAAGGGTAAGGCTGAGGTTGTACCTCTTACTGAGAAGGAACTGGCACTGGAACAATTTCGAAAGGAAATGATAGAGGAGATCCAAGCAAAGATAGCTCTAGAACAAGGCAAAGGAAAAGGGAAAGAAGAACCTGAAGCAATAGTAAGTGATGTTCAGATAACCAGAAAAGTTGAATGGGATCCCAATGATCGAAAGAGGATGTTGAGGAAAATCATAAAGTACCGAGATGTTGAAACCCGAGCTGTAGTAGAAGAAGAATGGTATGATGATGGGAGGCGTGATGTTAATATGCTCCGGATGGAACCCGATGTCAATCTGCTCATGACTTCGGGAGAGCGGTGGGAAGACAGCGACCTAAGTCATGCGTACACTAACGAAGGTTGAAAAGTTGATACCCCAGATGACACTTGGTATACTGATGAGATCAATCACATAACCCGGAGCGGTCAGTACTTCAAACCCGCAGCGGTAGACCAGCCAGAGACCTCTAACAAGGAGGCTGAGAGATCAAAAGAGAAAGATGTTGTAGAAAACATGGTCTTAAAGAAGCTCAAGAAGATCCAGGCCGACATATCCATTCGGGGACTGATAATGGCATCTGGGGAGCATAGGCAAGCCCTGCTCGAAGCAATGAACTGAACTAAACTGCCCATTGGCACTACTACCGACCAATTGGTTTCTTTGGCCACCTTTGGGGATGTTACGCTAGTAATATCCTTTACGGATAAAGAATTGCCTCCCAAGGGCACCTACCATAACAAGCCTTTGTATGTGACCTTGGAAAGTGGAAAAAAGTGGATTCTGATGGTGTTAATAGATACCAGATCGGCGATCAATGTGTGCCCAGTGAGAACTGCCTATGCCATCGGTTTAAGGCCGATTGACTTTACACCCACGACCCAAGCTGTCTGGGCTTACGACAATACAAGCCGGGATGTCGTGGGAACGTTAAAAAACAAGATCCTAATCAGCCCGTCCGAACATGAGGTGGAATTCCATGTCATGGATGTTCCGGCCACATTCAATCTCCTACTGGAAAGGCCCTAGCTACACTAGATGAAGGTTGTATCATCAACAGTCCATCTGTTAGTGAAGTACCCCTTCAAAGGCGGGATCGCCACTGTGTACGGTAACTCTGCGATCCATTCTCCCCAAGGAACCACTACACCATTATTCGAAATCATACATGGGAAAGAAGACGTGTTCCTTTTTGGCTTCTCTTTTGCAAAAGCCCGGTTGGTCTAAACCATCATGGTAGAGGGTGATGGAGATTATGTGAGTGCACAATCCATATGCATGATGAACAAACAAGGTCATATGACCGAGTTGGGACTAGGCCGAAGTGGTAGGTAGGGAGGTACTGTTGCTAAGAAACTAAGTCATAACCCCCATGCTTTCGGGCTGGGATACAAACCTACCGCTGCAAATTGGCAAAGGAAATGGCAGGAGTTAAGAGAAAGGCTAAAGGCAAAGAGGACTGGGAAACAGTATGAGTTAGTCCACAAACCTATACAGGGAACCCTAAATGGACGCTTTGTCCACCAAGGGGAAGATGTCCCATTCTGTGGATTCCCAAAGCCTTGGTATGACTGGGAGACAAAGACTAGGCATCCGGGGTTCGAGATCTTTTTCGGGCACCAATTACAGGAAGAAGAGGATGAGAAAGCAAACTTGAGCACTGATACGGATCAAGGAAGGATTGCCAACCTGGACATTGAAGAGGAGGAGCTGTTGGGAAAAGCACTGGCTGACTTACTGATGAGTTCCACTGCTGGAGCTGAGACCACCAACTTGGGGGATAAGTTTGCTATCTCAATGATCGGGGATACCCCAGCAGCAAATTTCTCCAATCCTATCGTGGATGCATCTGAGGCTTCACACCTGGTCTGGAAGCTTGAGCAAGGTGTCATCAATAGTTCTGAATCGGATAGTGAATCCGAATCTGATTCCACTGAGTCCATGGAGTCGGTGTCAGATTTGAGTTTTTCTGAATCTGGTACTTCTAGGAGTGGTAACCCGGATACCAAAGCCCTGTCCAGGTTTTCTTTTAGATTTTCTTTTGAGTCTACTGTAACTGAAGATCCAAACTTTGTGAATAAAAATGTTGTAGATGTTGCCTACTTCTTTGTGCCTTTGGTTTGTTGTACTAATCTTAATTTTCAAAATTTTGACATAAACGAAGAGGAAGAAATTCCTAGTGTTTTGAAAATTTTGGTTGATTATGAGGAGGAGAGGTGTGTTAAGCCCTGTACAGATGAAATCGTATCAATTAACGTAGGTACTGAGGAAGATCCTCGCTTGGTCTAGATCAGGTCCACGTTGTCTTCAGAGGAGCATGAGCGTTTAATCGCTTTATTAAAAAATTTCAAAGATGTTTTCGCGTGGTCCTACGAAGACATGCCTAGAATTGATCCTGAGATTGTACAGCACCAAATCCCTCTTAACCTTGAGGCCCGACCAGTTAAGCAGAAACTGCGTAGAGTTTGCCTAGATTGGGCTTTGAAGATCAAGGAAGAAGTTACCAAACAGATTGAGGCAAGGTTTTTACTTGTATCTGAGTATCCGATGTGGTTGGCCAATATTGTTTCAATCCCAAAGAAGGATGGCAGAATCAGAGTCTTTGTCGACTTCAAGGATTTGAATAAGGCTAGTCCAAAGAATGATTTTCCATTGTCGTATATTGATGAGTTGCTAGTGTGATGACTAGTTCGAAAACTGCCTCATTTTTATTTAAGTTATGTTGGGCAAGTTGTTGTTGAAAACTCTTTTTTTT